TTGTGCTAAACTTGTGGTGATTTCTTATAGCAGCAGGGGAATGAGCAGATGAGGGCCTCCATCGTAGGGAGGATTTAATGAGACATAAACTTAGAACGGCATCCGGTGTGTAGCAGGCGCTCAACAAACATTAACTGGGCTGTTGCTTCCCCAGCGCGTCGCAGGGGTCCCTCGAGGGGCGGTGACTGACACGACCGCCTATTCTGGGGACTCCCTTGCCCGGGGAACAGCGCAGACCCTGTGCTGTCAAAAGCAGAAGTAACTGTCTATTTTGAGGCTTTGCGGATGCTGTTTCCATGGTTACCCTGTCATAATGACTAATAGACAAAAGACTCGAATTTTCAGTGCTTCGGAGAAAGATGCGAGGCTGTGGGCTGGGCAGCGGAGCGGCCGGAGGGCCCCAGCTCTGCCCCCGACGGAGGGCCTGCGGAAGCCACTGCCCCTCCCTGTGCCTTGGCTTCCTCATCTGCCCAATGGCAGAAATAACCACCCGGGACGCTCTCAGCCAGCGAAGGGAAAATCACTGCGTCACCTGCTGGGAAATGACGCCGTGACCACACACCTCTAGGTACCACTACCAGCCACTCCTGAGTTTTGAGCCGCAACTGGATGAATGGACAGAAGCGAGATCTAAAGGAAGAGGTCTCATCTCTGTGTCACTTTTAAAACAACTGTTTGTGGGGCGCCTGGGGGGCTGTCAGTGGAGCGTCTGATGCTTGGTTTCAGCTCAGGTCACCATCTCAGGGTTCATGAGTTTGAGACCCGTGTCAGGCTCCATGCTGACAGTCGAGCCTCCTTGGGGCTCTCTCTTTCCCTCTCTCATTCTCTCTCTCAAAATAAATAAAAACTTTCTATTCCAATGACAAACCTGTATAAATCCATAATCAAATGTACACATGAGTTTCACGAAGACTTCAAGGCGCAGATATTAAGACTGTTCCAGGCAGAGAGTGGCCCAGCTTGTTTTCCAAGAGCCAAATAATCTTAGTAACACCGAGCAAAGAGACTGTAAGTAAAGGCAATTAAAGACCAATGTCACCTACAAACATTTAGACAAAAAGCATGATTTTTACATTTATGCAGAAGCGGCGCAGCAGGAGGTCACGGTGGTCAGAAGCCACCATGTCCCTCCCTTCACACCTTGGATCTGCAAAAGGCTTCTGGAACCTCAACGTGATCCAGGGAGGGGCAGCCCTAAAGTTACGATGTGCACAGCAGCCCGGAGGGAGGAGGCAAGACACACAAACGGAGAGGAGTCATCGAAAATAAAGTTCTAGCCCCTGCACCCTTGAGTCTGTGGGCTGATTCACATGCAGGGCAGACCCTCCCCTTCCCCCCACCGCTGGCGTCTGACGGTGACAGGCAGGATCTGTGCAAGCCGTACAAGCGATGGCTGCCCAGGGGGGTGGCTGCTCACTCAGGCCCCGGGGCAGGGCGGGGAGCCAGATGACAAAAGCCAAGGGGGGCGGTGCCTTCCACCTTCCGCCCCCCGAGGAGCTTCCTTCAAACAGCGTGGGGTGTGCGAAGCTGTCTGTATACCCCCAGACACCTGCGTGCCTGCGCCCACACGCGCTTCCTGACTCAGGGCTGAAACCCAAGCTAAGACACAGACACGCAGAGAGACGTCAAGAAGAACACGGTATCGCTCTTGCAGAGCCCGCCGCTCGGGCAATTTCTGGGCATACTTCATTCCCTTGTTTTTCTCTTTCTTTTTTTTTTTTTTTTTGGTAAAAGAGTCATTACCCTGCTTTCTTGCCCCCACCAAATAATTTAACATAATAATTTCCTCGCGTCATTACAAAGCTAAGTCAATATTGTCAACGGCTGAACCAGCTCCGGTGTACAGATGGCACTGTCATTCCCTCCTTACCTGCTCGGTTGGAGGTATAGAAAGCTGAATTTGGCCCCTGTAACAAAGGCTGGACCACGAAGCCTCAGCCTCTTCGTTCCCGTGGGGCTCACGTGGGCTCAGGCTGTGCCCGGAGGCGGGTCCCGAACTCTCCTCTCTTCTCCAACCTCGTTCCATACCAGTCGGACCCAGAGCCGCACACGGCCAAGTGTCCAGGGCCTCTGTGGCCTGAGCCACACGCAGTGGGCATAAGGCGGTCGGGGCCATGCCCTCCAGGGCACAGAACAAGAGTAGGGGGCATGTGGGAATCTGTTACGTGGCAAAAGGGAAATCAGGACTGCTGCCCGCTGACCTTCAGGTGGGGAGGGTTCCCGGAATTACCCAGGGGGATCCAAATTGCGAGGGTCCTTCAGTGTGAAAGGGGGGCAGTCATGTGATGCCGCGTGATTAAGCGCCCATAGCTGCTGTCGGCTGTGCCGATGCAGGGGCCATGAGCCAAGCAATGCAGGCACCCCCAGAAGCATGCATCCCCCCCCCCCCAGAGCCTCCAGAAGGGACTGGCCCTGTTGATGCCTTGATTTCTTGTCTGGTAAGACCCATGCCAGACTTTAGGACTGCAGAATGGGAGAACAAATCTGTGTTGTTTTAAGCCACGAAGTGTGGTCATCTGTTTCAGCCCTGGGCTGCTCTGAGGAGCTGGGCACCGTCCACACTCACGCCCTGGGTGTCTTCTGGCCCCTGGGTTTCCCGCCCGTCCACACACTGACGACTCCACACCTTTATCTGCAGCCAAGCCCCGGCCCCTGACTCCGGACATCCCCAGGGCCCAATGCGATCTTACTGTGTCCAAAACTCATCCATTCGTCCCGTCTCTGCTGCTGGCCGCCCTGCCCCCCAGGGTCCCCGCTGTCCGTCCCAGGAAAGGGCCCCACCTTCACCCGCTGCACAAACCAAACCTTGGACGGAGCCGCCGTGGTCCAAGGTGCACTCGGCAAAGCCCGCCAGCCCGGCCTCCCGAGAACGCCCAGGATGGGACCCACCTCCTCACCTTCGTCATCCTGCTGTCTCTTCACAGTGAACCCCAGCGGGGGCTCGTCCCACCGCCTGCTTCCACGTTGACCCCTCTGAAGCTTCCTCTTTTCAAACCCGTGTCTCATGACCTCAGGCCCGGCCCTCCACCCTCTGTGGCTTTCTCTCGACCCTCAGAATCCTTCCCCCGACCGATGGGCGTCCCGAGTCACCTGTCTCGTGTGTCTCTCGGACCTCAGCTCCCAACACCTTTCCCCTTAGTCATGGCACTCCGGCAACACTGCTGCCCCTGCAGGGTCCCCCTTCTAGAATATTCTCCCTCCAGAGACTGCATGGCTCACTCCTCGGCGCCTCGAGGGGTCTGTTCTGTTGTAACTGTTCCCTCCCTGCGCCCTGTCTTCGGCGGCTGTTTATATGTCTCACTATCTCCTGACATCGCACTACCCAGTGCCACATTCTCATCTGTTCACGGGGTCCTGCTACACGGCCACAGCGGACGTGTCCCCAGCTCTGCTCGGAGGCGGAGATGGGCCCTCCCCGCCCTCCGTGCTGGCCGCTCAGCCCTCAGGACGGGGAGGCTCAGCGCGGGGGAGAAGGGTGTTCCTGGGGGCCTGTGCGTGGGGCTCCGGGCTCGCTGGGGAGGGCGGAGCTAGAGGAGCGGGTGCAAACCCAGACCCTGGATGGCCCACCCAGTGGGGGCGCCAGTGAGCAAGCTCCGGAGTGTCTTCGGAGCATGGAAGCGCCCAGGTGCCGAGAGGGGCAGTGTGGAGACCAGGGACCCAACCTGGCCCAGGAGAGGGAAGGCCCTGGCGTTTGCAGGGTGTCTGGAGCCGGAGTCCCCTGCGGGCCAGTGCAGAGCCACCCTCTCGGGCTGCCCCGGGAAACCAGGCGCCCGAGGGGAAGAGGTGACCCAGTCCCTCCCAACAGACCTCTAATGAGACCACCTCCGGGGACCGACTGGTCACCACGCATGCATCCAGTCACTCACCCGGTCACTCATTCACTCATTCATTTATTCACTTGTTCACTCTCTCGTTCATTCATTCACTCATTCACTCACTTGTTCATTCACTCATTCATTTATTCACTCACTTGTTCATTCATTCACTCATTCATTTATTCACTAATTCACTCACTCGTTCATTCATTCACTCATTCATTTATTCACTCATTCACTCACTCGTTCATCTATTCACTCACTCACTCATTCATCCACTCATTCATTCAGGCAACAAGTATTTATTCCCAGACACTGTTGTAGGCACTGAGGTAAATACAGAGAGGAACCAAAGTCCCCACCCTCCTGACAGGGGTCCTGTCTGTCCCTGTCCCCTGCTATGACGCCCAGGGAGGATACCACGGCCTGACCCCCTGATCCTCTGCCTTCAGGGGCCTGTGGGGAACCCAGCACCAAGCAGGCCAGCCTGGGGTGAGAGTGCCAGCCAGGGCATCTCAGACTCCTGGGTTCAGATCCTTCCCTGCCACTTTTCACTTTGGATGACCTTGGGTCCTTCCTTGGAGCCTCAGTTTCCTGCTCTGTTCCGGACTCTGTCAGAGCTCATATGAAGATGAGATACTATGGACAGAGGGCTCTCTGGATGCCTGGCAGAGTATCCAATAAGTGAGCTGCTGTGTGGCACTGCTGGTTGTCACAGCATGTTCCTCAGACCTTGTTCAGCCCAAGACCCTCATGGCAGCCCTCTTGCACCCCCCTAGCTGGCCCCGTGGGGGTTCCAGCATGAGGAAGTGACCGTGTGGAGCACACAGGCCACTGGGGGAGACGGCCCAGCTCACAGAAAGTTCTGCAGACTGTAGATAGTCTGTGAAAGGAAAGCTTTGGGAGCTCTGGGGACACAGGGAAGGGGCCTGAACCAACATGGGGGTCAGGGAAGGCTTCCCGGAGGAGGTGACAGCTGAGTATGGTCCCACCTTAGCGTCTGGCTCCCAGCTCCCTCCCCGACCTTTCTTTCAGCGGTCTGGTCCCTGGAAGCCGGGCAGCTCTGGCCCATGCAGGGACTCGGGGGACAGCGGGTGCAGAACGCGCCTGAGCCACTCCCACCTACCCTGGGTGCAGCATGGATGGGCCGCGGCGCGCCGGGTCCCTGGGGGTGTGGGCACTTACGTTTGGAGTGCTTGTCACACAGGGCGGCTGCACGCATGTCGCAGAGGCGCAGGGAGCCCTTGCTGCTGCTGTAGACGAAGAGGTTGCAGTGGTGGGGGTGGAACTCGGACGCCGTGATCACCTCCGTGAGGTCCTCCATGTTGGCCGGCTTGATGTCCACAATGTCTGGCCCCGTCAAGGAGAGGCCAGAGAAGGGAGGGGACCCGCCGCTCAGCCTTTCCATGTGCCCCGCATCTGAGCTGCATCCGAGACCCCTGGACGAAGCCCCGGCCCCAGACAGTCTCTGAGCTGCACACCTGCACGTCCGACCGCCTGGCAGCTGCCCACTGTCTCCGCAGGCCGGACCGACCACCTTCCACCGAGCTGAGCCCTGTCCCCTGCCAGCACCCACAGCCATCCGGCCACCCCTCCTCCCCCCACGCCAGGTGTGTGGCACCTATTGGCTCCCCTCTCACCCCCCTGCAGCTGCCCCCCTCTGTCCACGGCACCCAGGTTCTCCTTTGAGGAAAAGGGTGCCTTTCTGGGTTCTCAGCGCTGATCTGTCCTCTCCACTCACAATCACCACGAGGGGTGAGCATAGGGCCTCAGAGGGGCCGAAAGCGGGACTCCAGGCCTGAGACACAGGGGGGAGGGGAGTCGCTCTGTCCTCTCTGCTGGGCTGGGTGGCGTGCAGACGCGGGGTCTATATGTGCTGCCAGGATGAGGGGAAACGTGGAGCCTGAGGGCAGGGCAGAGCACACGGAGATGCCTGCCAACAGCACTTGAATCTGGCATCGGGATGCACATGACCCTTGGACCATTGGATACAGGAGCCAATTCATCCATTTTCTGTTTAGGACCAAGAATTCTGCTGCTTGCATAGGAAATATCCCTGACTGATACTCTGGAGCCCAGAGAGGGTAAGCAACTTGTCCAGGACAGCTCAGCAGCGAGTGGTAAGGCTGGGTTTCCATCCATTCCTTGTTGCCTACAACAGCAAATCTAAACCCCTTGATGTAGCATTCAAGGCCTGGCGTCCCCTCCCCCTCTCTTCAGCTTCAGATCCCACTGGTTGCTCGGACCTAAAGGCACCTTTCTCTCTGACAGCGACACCCTGGTGTCTTGTCTCCCTGGCCCTGCACGGAGCTCTGCCCATCCCATTCCCTCTGGCTGAAGTGCCCTCTCCTCCCCCTGCGTCTGTGCGTGGGCCCTGGAATCAGAGTCTGGGGTCTGAATCCCAGCTCTGCCAACTCTGGCCTGTGCAGTCAAAGGCGGTGGGGGGGAGGCTTCCTTAGCTCTTCACACCTTAGTTTCCTCTTCTGTAAAATAGGTCAAAAGGTCTAACATAGTCTTGGTGTGACAATTAGAAGAGGCAAATCCCCTTGCTCGCCGCTTGACCCATCACAGCTCAGTGAGTATAAGCTGCCATTATTATATTTTGTTGTCTGGAAAAAGTGGGATTGAAACTCTGAGCCGCCCCCACCATCAGTTGTCCCTGCCCCTCCTGCCAAAGCCTCAGTAAGAGAGGCATTTCCTGACCTGCGTGAACATGAGAGCTCACCAAACATCAGAAAGAATGTTGAATCTGAGTGAGCAGGGGCACCGAGGAGGGTGTGTGTGCTCACACTCAAATACTGCTTCTGCAAGCACACCATTCACCAGAAGCTCAGAATCACATAAAAATATCGAGAGGAGGAAAAAGGAGCCTGAGCTTGTTTCCCGGGAAACTGCGGTTTTCTCGTATGATAAGAAGCAGAGATTAAATCACGGAAAATGAGGCTGAACAGTGAGAGAGAAAAAGCTGAGACTTCCGTGCCAATTCCATCCCCATCCTGCACCCAGTGCCTGCCTTTGCACCGGGCTCTGCCTGCTTGGAAACGACTCCGATTGCTGCCCCAACTTAAAACGGTGTCTGGGGGACACGTGTGGTCATTTATGAGCTGCATGCACGTCAGCACAACACTTGGATGTTCCGCGCTGGAGGGACTAAATTCTCCCTGCAGAACTCGGGCCACAAGCATCAAAGGAAGGACACCGAGTGGCCGGGCTCCAGGAAATGCAGGCCGGCTTGGGGTCCCATTTGGGTCACTCACTGTGGGATACGTGTTTACACTGTGTTTCATAGAGCGACGGCTTCCGGGGGAGAAAGACTCAGTGGGATAAGGTGCCTCCTGTCAGGCCGGGTGGGGTGGGGGCTCCCACCCGCGCCAGGGAAGTCAGCACAGCCGCTGCCTTGTTGCGTTCCCCAAAGGATGCAGGTCAGACGTGACAGGTCCATGCGTCATTCCCAGGCTGGAGCTCTGAGAGCCAGCACGCGGTGTGCCCTGACACCTTCCCATCTGCCGTGGGGCCCGCACTTCAGGTCACCCGCTATGAAATACCCCTTGGCTGTTTCAAACTTCTGAGATTTCCCGACCATCTGCCCTCCTGACCCATTCAGCGTCCAAACCCAATTCACTTTCCCACCTCGGGATGTTCTAGAACACAGCTCAGCAGAGAAGGAGCAGACGTCCAAATGCCAATCGCTCTGCCTCCACAATGACAGAAACTCTGACGCGCTCAACGGCCACGGATGCTCAGCTCACAACTGTGGTTCACTGCATGGGCTCGGCCACCGCCCGCCTGCATTTACCAAGTGTCTGGCTGGTGGAGACTGAGGCTGGTGTTTATGAGACGTCTTTTCACAGAGATGGCTGAGCTGGGGAGCTGTGCACGCAGGTGCCGGGAACGCACAGTGTGGGGGCTCAGAAGCCTCCCCTCTTGGCCCCCACGTGCGGCTCGCAGACTCACGTGGGGCTCAAGTCCAAGCAACTGGGTGTGGCCTTTTTGTCGGATTCCAGAGTGCACGTGCTCCCAGCATGCTTACCCAGTTCTGTCACCCTCATGACAACGGTCATTAGAAACAGGTACAAGGCGGGGCGCCTGGGTGGCTTAGTCGGTTAAGCGTCCGACTTTCGCTCAGGTCATGATCTCGCGGTTCGTGGGTTCGAGCCCCGCGTCGGGCTCTGTGCTGACTGCCAGCTCAGAGCCTAGAGCCTGTTTCAGTCTGTGACTCCCTCTCTCTCTGCCCCTCCCCTGCTCACGCTGTCTCTCTCTCTCCTAGAAAAAAAAAAGAAAAGAAAAAGAAACAGGTACAAGGTGTGACAGCTTTTAGAAGCACACAGCGGGGGCAGGGTGGAGGGGGGGATTAGGTCTGCAGCCCTCTGCAGCGAACGGGCCCGAAGCAGGCGACACAGAGTGGGCCGAGAGCGATGCACGTGGACCGAGGATGCTGTGTGTGGGCTTGGGAGACAAAGCCTCGATGCCTGGGTCCCACTGACAGCCCAGGGCCACAGCCCTTACAGCCCAAGCATCACTCAGGAGATCTCTTGCTGTTCCAAAGGAAGGGCTTTGGATACAGTGGGTGCTTGGGAAAGACGGATGTGACACACATTTCCGCGTGACCCCGGAGGAGGAAGACAAAGCCACAATCAACAGCCAATGTGCTGGGGCCCCGGCGGGGCAAGGACAGGCGGTCCTGCTCCTCTGAATCCCAGGGCCCAGAGCCGTACGTGCATCTCAAGGACAGCATAGCATCCTTTCAGGCAAGGCCACCCTGGAATCAGCCTCTCCAAGATCTCCCGCTCAGCTCGCCACAGGACTTGCCCTGCACCCGCTCCCTGGCTCCTCTCCGGTGCAGGTGGGTACGTGAAAGGATTAATTACTAAGCGGGGCTGTCACTGTCGAACTCGGTCATCACATCACAAAGCCAGGCCTGAACCCAGACTCCTGATAAGGGAGGTGTGTGTGAAAGTAGCATGATAATTACAAGTCGAACACAGTGCAAACGCTCCTCCTTGATTCACACCCATGTGGGCTTGAGCCCGTGGACTGTGACACATTTGGTCCAAATGCGACCTTCTGTAGTGGCTTGGACTTTGGCAGGCCCCGTGCTGGGTCAGAAGCTGGAGGCTCCGGGCCAAGCATTTGATCTTAGCTCTCTCTCTCTGGAATGCTCAGTGCCACACGCAAACATCATTCCGCAAGCCTCGGTTTCCCCTCTTTGCAAAGTGAGGGGTTGGGCATGACCCTGGAGCACCCTCTCATTTGGAGGCTGACCCCCAGTGTCCTCTGCCCCGTTTCGCGGACAGGTGCATAAATCCCACTTGTGTGTGGTGCCTCACGAGGTTTACACACTGCCCTCCCTCGGGAACGAGCATAATTAGACTCACCTACAAGCCCTGCCCCCTGGGGCAAATCCGGGTGAATTTCCCATCTCACTGTGTTCCAGCTGTGTGACGGGCTTGCACTGAACTCCAGTCACACCTTGGCAACTAAGTTCGCTGACCAGGTAGGGGGAGAGAGGAATAGGGCAGGCAGGGGGGAGGAGGAGAAGGTGAAATCGCTTGATGCCACACCCCGAGACTCAACACAAGGTACTTTTCTCCGGAGCAGCAGGCTGAATGGTGGCCTCTTGATACGTGTCCACATCCTAATCCCCATAAACCGTGAATGTGGCCTCATCGGGAGAAAAGTCTTTGCAGATACAATTAAGGATCTTAAAAGGACACCTCCATGGAGGCCCGGAGTGGACCCTAAACCAATGACGAGTGCTCCTCTAAGAGACCACACAGGCCACAGGACCACGGAGGCGGCTGGAGTAAAGCTGCTGCTAAGAAGGCGTGGGGCCGCCAGGGGTGGGAGGGAGAGGCAGGAGGGAGCCTCCCCGGAGCCTCCAGAGGGAGCCCGGCCCTCCCAGCACCTTGACTGCAAACTTCTGGCCTCCAGAACTGAGAGTAGGTTTGTGTGTAAGCCCCCAGTTTGTGGAAATCTGTTCCAGCATCCACGGCAAACTTGTGCTTCCTGGGACCTGGGGAGCCATGGCCTGGCCAGTGCACTAGTAGCACAGACATCCCCTTGTGCTTATTTGTTTGACTGCCCGGCTGCCCAGTGAGGGCGGGGGGGGAGGGGCGCGTGGATTGCTGCTGCACCTTCAGCACCTAGAGGAGCACCTGGCACACGGCAGGGGCCCAGTGAACAGCCCATCTCGGGCCCCTCCAATCCAGGCCGGGGGTGGGTACGGGAAGTGTCAAACCCTCCCAAGGGGACGAAGCCCTTCAGATGGAGCTGAACAGCAGGCTCAGGGGAGCGGGGGTGGGGAGGGGGGGTTCCTTTAGGAGGGGACTGGCACGGGGCGCCTGGGGGCT